GGGGGGGCTTTGAAAATATTTCAGTACTAGTTTGAAAAAACATTAGTAGTTTTAAAAACGTATCACAAAACAACTTAATAACAAATAACAATGAATGTTTATAGACCTTTAATATTAATATTCTTAAATGGAAGCCAAATAAATAGTCTATTATGTTCATGTAAATATACAATTCCCATTATTATAGACAAATTTTAGAACTAGGCAAAGAGATGCAAATAAATCACCACAGCTAGAAAGAGCATACTAAAATAAGTAAATTATTATATTGCAAATATGCAATGCCGGGAATATACTTTTTTGTTAAGATAAAAAATTAGTCTATAATGGGAATTGTTTATTGGTCTCTATTTTTGTTTCTCTAAATCATAGATATCTTATATACACTAGATAGCGCATCTCTTTTAGTAAAATCGAAGCCAAGAATATTCCAGCGGTTACCCCCATTTGAATAGATGGCGGCCATGTTGGTCGTTCCCACTTGCAAATAAACGCTCAAAAACAACAATAACTTTCATAACTTTGAATAGTTTAAAAACGTATTTGGAATACGGTTAACTTAATGTTTAAGTTCCCTGTTTAAGATATGGAAAACATACGAATCTTCTCATTTTTTGGGAACGACCTGAGACTGCAATCACGGCTTCAATTTTTGAATTTCAGAATAATTAGATGCACTATCTAGTGTATATAAGATATCTATGCTCTAAATGAAGGGCTAGAGTCGGGGGGGGGGCAAAATTTATGTTCTTGTTTTACCTGTTGGAGGGGGCTTTGAAAATTTTACTTGTCTTAAGAGGGGGGCAACGAAAAAATATTATAACTGTAGAGTTTCTCCTCAGTCCCCCCCCCCCTGTACAATAAATAATGAGCAGTCCCTAATTGTAATGAAGGGCAAAATTGGATGAGTTGATGTCATAATTCATTAATACACTGATACTATGTATACTACATGCATACGTCACGTCGTTCAGTGACTTTGGCCCGTTCTAAGCCCTAACATTCCATGGGGGGTCGTGAGTTAGACCGCTGCATCTCCCCTAAATTTTTTCCACCTCCCCCACTATTTCCACCAAAATCCGGCCTTACTTGGATCCAAGTGAGAATATGTACATTTTAAGACCTAACCAGGAACGACTGCGAAAAATGCAGCACAAGGTCCTCTGGTAGCAATTGAACCTACGGCCTTGCGATTCCGGCGCAGCGCTCTAACCAACTGAGCTACAGAGGCCAGCTGTTGAGCTGTAACCGTAAGTTCATGTATATATAGGTAATCGGGTGTGCGGGTTGTGATAAGGTGGACTTCAATAACTTAGTTCTTGCACTTCACTTGGTGGAATTAATATTAGGATGTTAGGGTTTGTAATCCAAGTGAGAATATGTACATTCGATTCCTACCAGGGGACCTTGTGCTGCATTTTTCGCAGTCGTTCCTGGTTAGGTCTTAAAATGTACATATTCTCACTTGCATTACAAACCCTAACATCCTACTATTAATTCCACCAAGTGAAGTGCAAGAACTAAGTTATTGAAGTCCACCTTACTTGGATCACCTACCAATGGACCATTCCCCAATTAACCAAAATTTTGAACTCGACAAGTCTAGACAAAAAATTCATCACAGCTTGAAAGAGCCGATCAAATTAGTAATATTCCAAAGTTTCGTTGCGAAATGTTGTAAAATGCGAAAAATATAGCCCTGCGAAATTTGCAATTTTCAGTCATTTTAGATTACAAACTGGAAATGGTTACCACTTCTGTGCGTAATACAAAATGACTGAAAATTACAAACTTCGCAAGGCTATATTATCCGCATTTTACAACAATTTGCAACGAAACTTTGGAATATTACTAATTTTGTGATGCTCTTTCAAGCTGTGATGAAATTTTTGTTTACGCTAGTTAAGATCAAAATTTTGGAAAAGTGGTAACCATTTACCGTTTGTAATCTAAAATGACTGAAAATTGCAAATTTCGCAAGGCAATATTATCCGCATTTTACAACATTTCGCAACGAAACTTTGGAATATTACTAATTTTGTGATGCTCTTTCAAGCTGTGATGAAATTTTTGTTTAGGCTAGTTAAGATCAAAATTTTGGAAAAGTGGTAACCATTTCCTGTTTGTAATCTAAAATGACTGAAAATTGCAAATTTCGCAAGGCAATATTATCCGCATTTTACAACATTTCGCAACGAAACTTTGGAATATTACTAATTTTGTGATGCTCTTTCATGCTATGATGGAATTTTGTCCAGACTTGTTGAGATCAAAATTTTGGTTAAAAGGTGAAAGGTCCATTGGGCAATAGCTGTTGGGAAATCCACTAACCACTGACTGTGAGACAATCAATGAACTGAATTTTTAAAAAGTGTGTTTTATGATTCAAAGTTTGTTTTTCATTGCTTTGTTTTGCAGGAGAATAAGCGAAATAAAGCGGACAAAGAACTAGGCAGCAGTGATACGGAACATTCTCCCAAGTAATTTTACGCATTTTTATTTACTGTGATTCACAGAAGCAAAATGTTTTCACGCGCCATGTTTCTATATACATTATGACTTTGTGTTGAAGGAATGGAGGACCAAGAGTTGAAAATGAATCAAATAACGAAGAAGATGACGCCAGGTACATAGAATAAACTTGTAAACTTGTAAAACCAATGTAAAACTAAATTCGACGTTTTGAAGGATTTGTATAAGAAATGTTTGGAAGAACTGACTCAGTCTTAATTAAACATTGTATCAGTTTCCTCAAACATTTTGTACGAATCCTTCAAAACTAGGGAACAAGGGAAAATTTCCAAGGGAACACAGGAACATTTGAAATGTGCAAAAGGCGCCAAATCAGGCTTTTTTTCTAAATGTAGCATAAACTTCGGTATTTTTCACATTTAATTTCTCAAAGAGAATACATGGTATCATATTTATATTTTGTAAAACTGTTACTCTTGAAGTATTCTATAAGGTGGCAGTTGATTATATACCTTGGTTAAAATTAATCTCGGAAGAAGAAAAGGACGACAACTCTATGCATCGACAAAATTGTGCTTTTCACTGCAGTTTTTGGCAAGAGCAAGTGGAGTACACGCCGGAATCCAGAATTGAAGTTCATAAACATATGGAAGAGAAAAGGAGAGAGAAGGAACAGACGGATAAACGGTAAAAATTGAGATATCCTCAAATATTCTAGTGTACTATTTCCTTTCACTTATTTGGGATTAAAGTTTGCACCGTTATGTAAGCCATATATATACACGCGTAAAAACGCACAAGTTGTAGCAAACCTGCAGCAGACTTGTAGCAATGCTGTTCCAACAATTTGTCAACAGGATGTGTTCGCACTGCTTGTTCCCAACTTGTAGACAACATTCTACAAGGTAGTTTCAACAGACTTGTTACAAGTTGTTCCAACAACTTGTTATGGTTCTGCAATTCAACAATTTGTCAACAAGTTGTGAGTGACAACCTTGTAGCAACTTGATAAAATAACAGCATTGTTACAACTTGTTGACAAGCTTGCTACAAACCTGTTGCGAACGCATGTGCACTTCCAATTAAGCTCCACAATGCAAAACGAAATGGCAAAACCGTTTAATAGAAATTCTCGACTTTTATCTGTTGGTTTTAGGACGGAGAAAACTCCAAAGGAAGTGAAATTTTTCGCTAAAGATGGAAGACCTTTAAACATCAACCAAGGAAAGTAAGTAAGATTGTTCCAGTTGGGACGGTTCCAGCAGTTCAATGGGATCCATCGTGTTTCTATTCTTCGTGACCATCTTCGCTTTGTTTCAGGTTGGATTTTAACTTTACTGACGACGAAGAAAACAATTCTTTTCTGTTTGATCTTGCTTGCCCGAAGTAGGTTGTCTGTTCATTTAATTAGACACCTTACGATTTTAGGACGGCAACGGCTACCAATACAATAGATTATTGAAAAGAATTGAGTAATTACAATATATGAATAATTTAGACATTCTCCTCGCTCTGTTTACAACGCTAAATCACAGATTTTCACGTCTTGATACAACGGCTGCATTCCAAGCCACAACAAGTGCAACTTCAAACTGGGTTTAGCAGAACTCTTGTTTAGCAGAACTCTTGTTGTTTAGCAGAACTCTTGTCTTCCTTCTAAAACTGTATTAAATTCTTACGATTGATAATATACGACGAACTATCTTTACTACCATTTATTTGAAGGAGTTGTTTGTTTTGGCCGTCGCCGTCGCGTTGCCGTCCTAAAATCGTAAGGTCCCTACTTTCTTCCTTGTGACGTCTCTTCGAAATCATGTCTGATCAGCTGATTTTGTATTTTCAAGATATCTGGACACCTCATTGATCAATGTCGACCTTCAGACAACGTATGTACGAGTGACGGTGAAAGGAAAGGTAAAATAACTCAAAGTTGTGGACAAACTTAACCTTTTAGGTGGAATTGCCCGCCCGAATGCGCCTTACTTTGTTACTTTAGGGCTTTCAAAATAAGCCTGCGGCCGCCGGGGGTGCCACGAGGGTTACCGCCGGTTACTTTGTTTAGTACTTGAATTATCAATTCTGCTCTCCTTCCTTCACTCTAAGCGTTCAAACAAAGTTATTTTTCCTCAGCCTGGTCTACTTTATACTATTTATAGCCTGGTTATTTTTCAAAACGACGTACTATTTCGTAAAACTGATTTGTTTATTTGCTATCTTCAATCTTGAGTTATCTTGTTGAAGAATGAAAGTAGTGATACATTATAATTTGATGCTCAGTTGTGTAGCTATACATATAATAATACATATATTATTCAGCTGACTCCCCAACGGGGCTTTTCAGTGACCGACTACATCAAGTATTACGCTTACTTGTATTACTTACTTAGCTTAGACTATTTATCTTTACAACAATGGACCATTTGCATTATAGACTAAATTTTGATCTAGACAAAAATTTCATCACAACTTGAAAGAGCATCACAAAAATAGTAATGTTCCAAAGTTTCTTTGCAAAATGTTGTAAAATGCGGATAATATAGCCATGCGAAGTTTGCCGTTTTTCAGTCATTTTGTATTACGCGCGGGAAATTGACAGCCCAATCGGGTGTTGGGGCATCAATTTCCCGTTTGTAATACAAAATGACTGAAAATTGCAAATTTCGCAAGGCTATATTATCCGCATTTTACAACATTGCGTAACGAAACTTTGGAATATTACTAGTAATTTTGTGATGCTCTTTCAAGCTGTGATGAAACTTTTGTCTAGATCAAAATTTAGTCTATAATGCAAATGGTCCATTGTGATGTTACTTTCATAACTTTATCCTAACCCACCCTGTCAACTTTCCCTGTGGGAGAAAACCCACGACTTTCGGCAGGGCGTTGACAACACCGCGGAAAAACGTCTGCGCATGCACCAAATTATGAAAATATGGCGGGGAATTTGAATATCAATTTCTAAAACAAAAACATGCTTATTAATTGGTCAAAAATTAGTAAAACAAACGAGAAAATATAGCAAATGAGTAGACTAGACATTAATTGAAAGCGTCCTGGCATTTAAAGTATGGAATGAAATATAATTCATGTAAAAAATTGTTGATTTTAACGGACACGACTTCGAAAATTTTTGCAAAATTATTCAAAACAAAAATTCAAACTAAAAAGTTAAGAAAACTCTCGAAAAGTTAAGCTTCTTAACCCACTCAAACTGTAGAATAAATCCAAAAGTTTAATTATTGTGAACACGCAAATTTTTTATATTTGGCGACACAGTTTTTTTTAAAGAAATGTATCTCAAACGAAAATTCGGAAATTGTCGTTGCTTAGTTGATAAACAAAATGTTTCAGACGATAAATTTGTCAACAATCACCTTTAGTTCATGTTCTTGTACAATACAATTTCTTGAACCTTCTGGCTGTATTTATTCCTAGTTTTTAGAATGACATGTTTATTTTTGCGCTCGAAATCTGGCTGTAAAGACGCACAATGAAGTCACTCCTTTTTACCGCCATTTTGAGCTTTCGGAAACATTCGGAACAGCTTCTCATCAAGTTCGCAATACTATTACAGGTAAGGTTGACGCATGCGCAGACGTTTTTCCGCGGTGTTAGCGTTGACAGACTCTTTTGACATGAGTCCGTAGCGAGAATCAAACCCACGTTCTCAGAGGTGATGGGCGCTTGTTCTGATGAGTGCGCCAGCTAGCTATCTAATTAATATACACGCGCTTATGTTTCTAACGCCAAGCGATTTTACTCGTCAAGCTAGAGGAGAGTGCTGGCACTGTTGTAGCCTGCGAACAGGCTCTCTTCTAATTCAATTCAAGAGCCTGTTCGCAGGCTGGCACTGTTGCGAACCCATCTATACTGAGGGGGGCATTGGGGGTATTCAATACCGTAATACCGCAAGCAAATTTTGTCAATTACTGCAGTTTTTGAGTCCAAAATTGCAAATACCGTGTACCGCAAGATTTTCAATATCGTAATACCGCAATTTGTCAAGGAAAATACCGAAATACCATAAGAAAAATAAGCTAATACCTCCATACCGTAAATCCTAATGTCCCCCCACTATACTCGTTGTTTAGATCATGCAGCTCGCGTTACCAGAAGAAATCAAACCAGACTCTAGCAAAGCTCAACGTTCTCAGGTCACTGGACATCTCTTGTTGACTATGCCTAAGGTTAGAGAAACTATTCATTGAAACAGGGGTGGATTTATAGGGGGTGCACAGGGGTGCGCACCCCTGTTGGTCAACAGGGGTGCAAGGGGGGTGCAAAAAAATCAAATTCAGAAATACGGCATAATTTCCAAGGTTTTTCCTTTTTTGAAGTCAAACTGAAGCTCATAATTCAATGCCCATATCGCAGGAAATGGCATTTCTAGTGTTCTAATTTTCAAAATTTTCGAAATTTGGTATGGCAAATTGAGGAAACGTGACGCAAAAGCATTTAGAACGTACTAGTCCTGGAAAATTTTTTCCCTAGGGGGGTGGGGGGAGTGGCTGTCTGGAATTTTTTTTTAATAGGGGGCCCTGACCAGCACCCCTCCCCCCCTAGAAAAACCTTGCTGGATCCACCCCTGCATTGAAATAATTTTCCTTCTCTGGGCACATTGCATCGTTTCCTCATTATTAGACACTTATAAATTCGATATTGATTGACCAACTGGGGCCGTTTGTTCAAAGGTGGGTTAACGCTAACCCTGGGTTAAAATTTAACCTGCAGTTTTAGTTTGTGTATTTCTGCACGTCTATTTATTGTTCGATTCACGGATAGGCGTGACTTTCCTACAACATTACTATTGGTTAGTTGGGCAAGAATACAATACACACGTGACGGTGAAGGACCAGAATTATGAATAAACGTTGACCAACATAGATAATGAGTTATATTGTTATTCTAATGAGTTTCACAGCCATCGTCCTTTCATAGGCTATGGGTCAAGTTAACCCAGCTTTGAACAACCGGCACCTGGCATTTTCTTAGAGTATGCATTAATGAAGAAGTCTATATATGATGGCAACTCTTTCCCCGGGCACATCGCATGGTTTCCTCATTACTAGACACTTACATTCGATTGATTGATTAGTTGAAGGGAATTGTCAAACCAAAAAATACGAAAGCGAAACAACACAAGGAACAGAAGACGAATGATTCGGGGAGAAATAACGCACGGTAAGTTGAGACTTTTAAGATACAGGGTCGAGCACATGACTTAGAATAAAATGCGACAATGGACATCACAATCACCAGCCACTTTGCAAAGGGAGGTGTGAAGGGGTTCGCACCTCCCCTGAGATTGTTTTGCACCTCCTCTGAAAAGTCCCTCCTCCTCTACCATTTCTACCAAAATCCGGCCTTGGTGCAATATAGTGTAATCTCAATCTTCTTGTACTATAGTATGAGCGGCCATGTTGTATCGGCTATATAAATGGCTTGTGAAATGTCTTGATGAGAACATTCGTATTTTTCAACAATTTATAATAATTTATAATGATATTTGGTGAGAAAATTGTACAATTCTCATTAATAATTCATGAAGAAAATTCAAAAGAAAGAAATATTTATTATTTATGTTTGTAATCGGATAAAGATTTGTCCTGATTTACATAAACTTCAGCTTTGATTTTCTCGGCTTAGGCAATGTTTATTTTTAAAATGACTTGGCCAATGAACTCATAAGATGGGTCGTTTTTTAAGCACGTTAAAACATTCGCATCCAATCTTTATCTGATATACAAACTCTCACATTCGGTTCGAGTTTTTATATCAGATAAATATTGGCTGCTCATAACCAGTACTTAAAGTTTTTGTAAATCTTTGTAAAATTTTGTAAGTTTTTGTAGCACTTAAAGTTTGTTTTTGCATCAAACATACAAACTCCTTCACATTCATGATTTCTTTTGTATTTTCTTCATGATGAAGTATTAATGAGTTTCACAAATTTCTCCACAGTAATCCGACGGCAAAATTGGAAGTTGACCCAAGCGTACGACACGAGGTGGACTTTGGTAACATTGTGCGAGAGAAGTCTCGCAGATCACAGGATGCACCGCAAAGGACAGAACAAACATGTGTTGATAAAGAACAAAGTGAAGACTTTGTAGACGATCCTGATGTCCCCCCGCTTATTTAGGATCAACCATCCCCCCTGCTGAACACGTTACGGCAACGAGTGTTCGGAGATGAGGGGAGGGGAGTAGGGGCTTAGGTAAGAGATGAGTCATTTATGGCTGGGGGTGGCGCCGAAGAGAAATGTTTTTCTTGGTAAAATTTTGGTGATCCAATAATTGAAAAGTCAAAACTTATTTTTACCCAACTTCAAATATCGATTAAAAAATAAATTCACACCCCTGGCCAAAAACTTCGCAAAAGGATACCATTCAGTTGTCACACATGTCCTTTACCACTATAACATGAGTTTGATAACTGCTTGCGCAATTTTCTCCAGTCTAAAGTTTCATGTTGTCTGCACATGTACTTTCTTTGGAGACACCATTTGCCTTCTGACAAATCGGAAAATGATCAAGATAGTGAACCTGATTGATTTACATATATTGTATTGACCTATGAATGTTGACATTGCTTTTTAGTCTCCGATATTTGAGTGAGTCATGCTTCAATCGGTCATGCTTTGGAAATGACAATGAATTTTTATTACCTACCCTTGAGTTATTTTGTTTACCCAACCCTTTTCCCTTCGGTGCCAACCCCCGCTATAGATAATGACCGTTCCCTAAACAGCCTTGCTTTCGAGGTTGAGTTACGCCATGTTAGTGTTACGAAGCTAGCTGAAAGACGTTTTTACAACTCTTTCTCTGAGAGATTCTTCCCAAGGTTTGATCTGATAAGACAAGAAGCAAAGAGGCCAAGCGTCACCGCGTCAAGTGAGAGCATTTCTGTATTTAACACATCGTTCACATTGTGCTAAGGACAGTATTTATATAACAACAATTATCATACGAACTTTGCAGCAATAGGCTGAATTACATTTATATTTACACATGTTTTAGATAAGCTAAAATTCTTCCACTAGACAGTACATATTTTACATGCTATTTACAAAACATAATATTACGACAATACTATTTACAAATACTACGAATTCAATGCATTATGGGTTATACAACTCTCTAAAAAGGTCGGTTTGATATGTAACATTACGAAATCTGGTTACATGAAGTCATAATGATTAATGAAGCTGTTATATAATAGAACCGCTTAGTTTTGCAATAAGGAATATCAAATAACTTGTTAGATCTTGGGTAGGTTTGTTTGGTGGTATCAGATGGTGAAGGTTGTGATTACTATCGGTAGTAACTATAACTGGAACAACTTCTTACAAATGTTATAGTGGTGGATGAAGAGGTCCTCGACGAAAAGCAATTACTTTTTCTTTAATAACTTGAGTACTTGACCCCGCCTTGAGGTCATGTTTTCATCCGACGTGTTTGTGTCTGCGTGTTTGTCAACACGACAATTCACTCAAAAACTATCAAACCTATTAATACGACAATTCCTGGAAGTAATGTAATGGACATTGCATCAGTGCATTTTTTAAAGATTCTTAAGGGCCCATTTTCCTTTGGGTCTCTGAAATAGCATTTCCTGCATTCTGAGAACACATTTTAAAAAAAATCTCAGCTTCTCAACACAAAGTTTTAATGGAGAAATTTGTAATAAATTGCACGCTAAACATTCAAACACAACTGAGAAGTTTAAGTATGCTCGCCAACAAATCAGTTGTTTTTTAAACTTCTTTTCAATGTTAAACTCATTTACTCTCAATACAGGTCCTAGTGCCCTGGCTTTGGGGCAATAGCCCATATTTTTTATCGGTGGTGGGGCAGATGAAGGGGCCCAGTGGCAACCTCGTTCCCAGGGTACCCTGGGTACTCTACCCAATGCCTTGCATTGCATGCCCGTACAATAGAGGCCGGACAAAACCTTAAAATGTACACCAAAATTTGTTTGATGGCATTTTCTGTTACAAGCTGCCAACTGGCATTTTCTTAGACTGATATGCATTAATGAACGGAAGACTATATATGTTGGCAACTCGGAGAATTTTGAGAATTTTAAAATATTACCTATTAAAAATACTATGTTGATAAAGTTGCAAAAAGATTCAGGTCCATTTTTAACAAAAATAAACTATGCCATTAGAAAATTCGCAAAAAAGTATGTAAAAGACATTTAAGCGAATAGTATGATTTGATTCAAAGTTGCCAATTAATTGTCTCGCGGTGGAGTTGATAACAAAGTCTTTAGCAATCAAACTTAGGATCAGTTCTGTCCTCGATTTGTAGACTTCTTAGCTTTAAGGGGGCATTTATAATTCCTTTTTAATTGCTAGAAAAAAGGGCACTTTTATTCCATCAAAAATGCACATTTTCTCTTTGCACAAAAAGTGGGGGGGAGCACCTGCCTCCAATGCCCCCCCCCGGTTCCGCGGCCTCTGTATATACAATTATCATATGCAATTATGTACAATTATTGAAGATTATATATACTGTATAATTTATGCATGCATGTACTTAACTTAATTCACTGACACTGTCAGTCTCCGAGTCATAGATATCTTATATACACTAGATAGCGCATCTCTTTTAGTAAAATTGAAGCCAAGAAAATTCCAGCTGTTACCCCCTCTTGTTCCCACTTGCTAATAAACGCTTTAAAACAACAATAACTTTCATCATTTGAATAGTTTAAAAACGTATTTGGAAAAGGGTTAACTTCATGTTTAAGTTCCCTGTTTAAGAAATAGAAAACATACGAATCTTCTCATTTCATGGGAACGGCCCAGAGGAGGGTGGAAGCTCTTCCCAGCATGCATTGCAACTCATTAATATTCACAATCATGATTTTTCACAATGTTAGTTGGAAAAGTTGTGGATATTTATTTCGATATTTCGCCACGAAAAGTTCGTATTTTTGAAGGTAAGTTTTTATAATTGTTTTAAATATGAGTCAAATTAACGATTTTTGCTTTATTTGGTGTTTTAACAACGTTTAGTTATATGTTAATCGCAATTTGGATTGACCTGTTTTCCGGGTCAATGCACAAGTGTCAAAAGTGGCTTTCAAAACCGCTGGGGACAATTGGGTTTATAAATGAGTAAATTAAATAAAAGACACGCCATCGTATTCAGGAAGAGTTGTTCTTTCTATGAGAAGTTTAAAAAATGAATTGTCCCCATCAAACTGACGAGTAATCGCGGTTTGAAAATGGGGCATTTTCGGTATACTATGTCGCCCATCGCGGGAATAATCGACCGCATGGGAATTATGGCGCGAGGAAAATTACTGTACGAGTCGTTATTATTTTTGTTTTATTTCGAAGCATGTGCATATATGTCGATCGTTGTTGAGTTTAACTGCTGCATTTAAGTTAAATACACTGTATTTTACCATTATTTTTATAGAATTCGAATATATTTTGTGAAAATGGAATCTGATAATGATGGCAATGTTGTTTATATTGTTGATCCTTAGTATGGGAAAAGTTGAACTTATGAATTTAATGCTGATTTAGAACTGTTATTGAGCAAACTGTTCCTACATCTTGCTTTGGCAAATGGTATAACATCTAATCCAGCCAAGTTGTGCTCATGATCCATTCAACTGATTCAAGCAATGAAAATATTGAACCAGAATAATAAGAGCAACCTGTTATATAAATTTGCCCATACCAGCCTTTTAATAGATACATATTTTAGTAGACATTTTACATGTAAATACTGGTGTATTGGTGACATGAAAATGTTGCAATGAATCTTAAGTATTTACTTTATATATTGTAACTTTGAATAAAGCATTTTATTAACATCAATTATCTATGACCACTGCATTTATATGACCACCCCCCACCTAGCCCTGGCCAGAGGGTATGCAGGGGGGGGGGGGGTATTTTCATGATAAAGCAAAAAATATTAGAGTCAAAATGAGTAATTTGAGTAATAACATGATGATAAGTAAACTGTTTGTTAACAACAATTACAATACAGTAGTCAAGCAAGACTTTGCTGTAGTCAAGTAAGTTGATAGGTGGGTGGCGCACATGACTGACACAACTCGGCACCAGAGCACCCTCCCTACCACATCATACTGGATCCATATTTAGATCAGTGATCCATCTACTAAATATACAGCTGTTAAAACAGTGTTAAGAACACATGCACAATGACTGCAGTAAACAAACACAGGAAATTGAGTTTGAAAACATTTATTTATTTGAAAAAGGACTGGTAAAATTATATTTAGGTGATTATCGGGGAATATTTGCCGAGGTTAATATTCCCAGATAATCACAGAGCCTGAGGCGAATAATTGTTTTAGTATTTTTGCACAAGTTTTTGTATTTTTCTGGTCTGAATTCATTTTAATTTCGCTTATTTCTTTATTACTAACTTCAACAAAACAGCTAGCCGCCATTTTGAAAATTTCGATTTTGTTATAATTATGTAACAGATTAATACATCAAATTTGACCAATCACCTTGTAGCATTTGTTATGTTCACTTGTGCAAAAATACTAATATCAAATATTTACCTGAAATAATAACAGTGTTTTAATAGGAATAAATTTATATGAAAATCTCAACTAAAAATGTCTTGCTCATGTTCTACTTTAAATTTCAACTTCAGATTTTTTGATCATCTATACATGATTATCACAAGTTGCATGGTATCTTTGTTCTCGCCTGGAACCAGCTACAACAAACTTCTCAGGATACAAAGTATCCTCCACAATCCTTGTCTTAATTCTCAGGATACAATGTGTCTCCATCACAATCCTTGTCCTTCAGAATCCTTGTCTCCATCCTCCTAATCAGAGCTTGAATCATTCATGTATTTAGCATCATCAGTAGCCTGTTCCACACCCAATAATTGAGTCAACTGCTGAATTTCATCAATCTTGTCCATGTCTGCAACTCCACCTTCTGCACCAATACTTTCAACATCACCAGGCATCTCTTCACCATGAATTTTAACCAAACACATAGCATTTAATGTCTGCTTAATGCAATTGCATAACAATGGCTCATTTAAATTCACCAGTGGTAGGTCATTCAGTATATCCTCTAAAATATCCAGCTTGGGTGGTCAGATTGTTACAGAAGTTGGTGATGGAATAATGTTAAACTCCCACAACAGAACACAACATAAGTACTACAGGTAAAAAAAGATTTGATGCATTTATACAGGGATGTTGGAACAATAAAAAGGCAAGGGCACCTTTATAGACCTACAATTATGTGTTGACTTGCCAATGAAAGCCTGAGTGTGCATGTTCCATTGATGATTGCTGTTCTCTGTTCTGGAAATAAAGTCTACTCAAGGAACTATAACTGCACAAACACATTTAATCAGGTCACATTCAAGTTCACACCTCATGACTTTGCCCAAAACTGGAGATAAGATTTAGCAGGCAGAATTTCTATAACACAAAGTGCACTTCTGCCCCCCTTGCCCCTCCTCCCTGCTTTTATGATATTAAAATAGATTTGACTCATTTGACATTCAAATACTTGTAGTCTTGTATGATTTCCGAGTATAAATGGCCCATTTTCCCACCAATTAAATCATAAAATAATCGTACCTTAAGGTCACAACTAGAATAGATTTCTATCAATGAAGGACTATCGCATTCGACGAACATATAATAAGTCAACTTTTACGCCAAATGTTGTCGACTTGTCGTTATCCATAAAACTAGAAGTTCGACATCCCTTCACGAAGCAGCTCCAGTCGCTCTTTCGACACACAATGTACATAAAGATTGTCACGTCCATCCAAATCAGTAGCTTTGTTGCCACGAACAGCA